CCTCGGTCCGTGTTTCAAGACGGGCAGGATAGAGGAATTTCGCCAGCATCCCGAACACGCAGGAACCCGAACGGGCCCGCCGAAAGAGGCGCGTGGTCAAGGTCCCCGACTGTCGTGACGGCCACCCGTGGGGGGTTTCAATCGCTCCCCACCGCAATGCCGGTCACAGCAGCCCATGCTGGCAGGCACCCCACGTCCAAGAAGGGGGGCGACAACATAGTCGTCGTCCACCCCTGCCCAGACGGGAGCGCACGACTTCCCCTCCATCCGCTTCTCGCTCGGCAATTTCAAGCACTCCTTAACTCTCTTTTCAAAGTTCTTTTCATTCTTCCCTCGCGGTACTTCTTCGCTATYGGTCCCTCGCACATATTTAGCCTTGGATGGGACTTACCACCCAATTGGGGCTGCATTCCCAAGCAACCCGACTCTTGGACAACACCTCGTTGCGCAGCAGGGTCCGGCGGTCGACGGGGCTGTCACCCTCTTCGGCGTCCCCAACCACGGAACCTGCACACGGCCCGCTGCAGAGGTTGCCTCTCAAGACTACAATTCAGGGAGCAACACAGCCCCCGAATTTTCAGTCTGGGCTGTTCCCGGTTCGCTCGCCGCTACCAAGGTAATCCTCCTTGGTTTCTCTTCCTCGGCTTAGTTATATGCTTAAATTGGGCAGGTGCTCCCGCCCGACCTGAGATCAAAAGGCAAGGCCCGACATACCTCTACAGCTCGAGGCCGACACCCCCAACCGCAAGCCCACCTCAAGCTGATGGGAGCGAATGGAAGGCAGCGACCACACAAACCGGAGGAACGACCTTACGTGCCGTTTTCAGGGAAACGAAGACCACCACCCACAAACGGGTGCTGGAGGGCAACAACAGGGTGGAGCGAAACGCACCACTCTGGGCTGCGGCCCCCACAGGCCCGCTCGGAATGCTCTCCAATTCCCTTCCACTTTAGGCTATCGACGCTCTCCAAGTGGGAAGCGAGGGAAGCCACGACCACGGACCCCACCACTCTCCGAAACGGAAGTCGCTGATGTCGTGAGGAATCCAATGATGCTCAGGCGGGCGTGCCCTCGGCAGAAGCCTTGGGCGCCACGTGCGTTCAAGGTATCGATGGCTCACGGATTTCTGCAATTCATATTCAGTATCGCATTTCGCTGCGCTCTTCATCGTTGCGAGGGCCAARATATTCGTTTGCCGAGAGTTCTACAATATGGTGTCGTTCCGACACGACCGACCCCTCGACCAGAACAGAAGGGGGCCGTCAACCCAGACAGCGACAAATCAGAGCCGGTACATCAATAGGAAGTTGCAAAGTCGTCGCCACCAGCCGCTGCCACGGGCCCGCCCGATCCCCCGTTCGGGGGGCCAGGCAGGGCACCGGGGAGCAGCGGGGCAACGAGGGTGCAAGC